TGTAGGTACCGCTCGTTTCCGTGATTCGAATAATTTTATATGTGACATTTAAACTCTAGTAAATGCCATCGGTGAAATCGAATCTGCTAAAAATGTTTTTAAAGTTTAACGAATTTATCGGCATATAACTGGTAGTTTTCCAGCGATATGGAGCGAATCGTTTGCTTAATATTTAACGTGATAATTGCAAGTTGTATTTTAAATACTCACCTAATGATTATTTGTCACGTTCGTCGTCAGTTTTACAAATTTTGCCTTATTCAATCAACCAGAACAGATTTATGCTGTTAATTACGTTCTAACAGTAACACTATTTGTACTGCGTTGATTTCTTCATTTTTCCCGGGTTGAGTTGCGACAATTCGATGTAGTTAACACGCAAGATTTTTTTCATCGATATGCCTTTGTGATACAGAAACTAATAAAATAATTAAACGCTCCTAATCGAGCAGCAACAATCGATATATGTCAAGGTGGAGAATTGCAATTGCAGACGCAGATTAAAAGACAATTCTATCTGCTGGTTGTGAAGGAAAATAACGTTTACTAATGGCTAATCATTAAGAGTAGAATGTTGATGTTTATTAAAAAATGAGTCCCAATTAAGCAATCCTGTTATTGAGTCATAAAATATTTTTTATTATTTGATCAGCACATAAAAAATTATAAAAATTATTAATGTCATATTGAAAAAAAAAGTGTGAAAATATCCTTTTATATTTAAATTTAATTTCTAAGAAAATCATTCATTTAATGTTATTAATAAAGCGGTAATGGGGGACAATTTATCATTTCGGAATTTTCGTGTGAAAATCTCCATTATTCAATACATGAATAATAACTCGATTTTTTATATTGGTATGTGAATGCGTTTTTTACTGAACTCGAAACGTTTATTGTGTAAGTGGGAAGGGCGCATTACCATAACGAAGAAGAATGGATATTGTCTATATTATATCGTGCGAGGTTTTAAATAAGTTATACATATCAAAGAGGGATTGTATACGAGTTAGTAGGAAAATTTGTATTATAATTGCGAAAGTTGTCTCGTTAAATTGTTTAGAAATTTAGTTCCTCTTGTAATATTTAATCAGTTTGTTTAAAAATTAACAGAGAGCGTTACGTTTCGTTCCTCAAAGGTATAAAAGCATTGGAAATATTTGAAACGTAATTCGAATCCTCGTTTATTACGATCACCATATACTCGGATAACATCTCGTCGGCGCATTACCAATTACTCAGAAATATCAACATGAATGCCCATTATGTGGGAAGGATTCCCATTTCACTATTACTAGTACCATCAAAGTTAAACGATGAATTTTATTGCCGCAATTATGCATTACCTCAAATCGCAATAAATCCGTATTAATTTTTGCGGGATGCATAACTTAATAATTTATTCGACTGCACGGGGTTCTCAGCAGTCCATTCAGGTAATCACGTGATGAATTATCGACCTGGTGTACGGTATCGACAATTTCAATGGCTCGTCGAGACCGATGGTATGGTAATTAGAGAATGGTACTGTGCGTTGGTGAATTGTCCTGGTTATAATTATTTAATAACGGTTGCTCGGGTACTCAACAACATCTAATCAATTTAATACCCATTTGTGCATCTAATTACGTGTGGATATTAATTGAATGTGTAATTAATTTTCATCGAAAAACGTCGTTGTTTTTGAATTATTGTATTCGATATTAGGATTGCAGTAGGTGTAAAATTTTAAACGTATTGCTAAGAGGCAATTTGGTTAAGCATTCATTGGAAATATATCATGTATTTTAAAGAGGTTTAAAAATTAAGTAGGTATAGATTTTAGAAAAACAACAGCTTGTAGGCGAGGTCGAGATATAAATATGTACTTGCAAAACTTTAATCAGATATACTCTATACATACTAAATATTTATGCTATAGATCATTATAATTACATACAACAATCACAATTAAATAGTATAAATCATTTATGCGGGCATACCTGATAGGTTAAAGTGCAAATATTTTAATAATTACCTCCTGATAGTAAATCATTGCGATATTATTCGCATAAAAAAGTCAACAATTCGAAATTATTTTTACAGAAATTGAAAAAAATATGATCATTACCATCATAATTTTTATAGCTAATAGCAACATAATTACTAACGTTTTCTTCAACGTTTCAGTTCCTGACTGGGCTGATGAAATCGATTAATTTTTTTTTATATGTGAGCTAATCAAATTCCTTCAGCAAATCGAATTTGTCCATTAAAATATCCAAATAAAATAAAGCAAACGAACGCACTATCTTCGCACGTAAAACCTATCGACAACCGTAGAATATAAATCTCTCGGTTGTTTTTGTTTGCGGAGTTTGCATACTGCTAAGAACAAGCTGACAAACTCCGGTGAGGATGATGTCGAGAGACGGGGAACACCCAACTCGTTCGAAATCCTATTTACCATCGGAGCGTAAAAAATTGGAAGAATTTAAATCGCACTTGGTGTGATAAGTGCGCGCGTACAAGCGATTTTATTAGGCTGTATTACTAATTAATTCGCTCTTCAAACTGAAAATATCGAGTTAACGTCCTCTCGGACAATTTCGACGGTTTTTTCTTCCATCTCGTCAAATCATCAGACGAACAGGCACGGCCTCTTCGCAAAGACCTGCTTTCAAATATGCCGAGAAAAACTCGTCCGTGAAGGAATAGTCGAAAGTTAAGCCGCTGCCGTCGTTTTACAAGTTTTTACTTTTACGTACTTATTCGGTGTAAGTGACCGCGAAGAAGCGCATCGGGTTCTCTCATACCGGCTAAAAAGGCCCCGCTAAAAAATTGAAAAGTATATTATTATACCGTAAAAATTTTAGTGGAAACGGTTTTTGCGTTCCATCGCCGTTTATCCCAAAAACAAAAGGAAATATTTTACATTTTAATGTTAAATTAATCTGGAAATAACGAAAAGTTGGCGTTTTTGTCTCGCGCATATTTGGGCAATGCGTTTTATTTGACCAGTCGGTTCGGCTTAAAAACTGTCAAAGCCACAGCAGGCATTAAAAAGGCCGTAATTAATTCACGTCAGAATCATCACCTTCACGCTTTACATTTGATGCCAAACCAACAGCTAAAACGAAACTGCTCCGCTGCTTGACATGCTTCACCGCTTCGACTTAACGGTTTCAATATCAGCACGTTGTTGTTCGTATGGTACCAAAAAGAAATATATTTTTTGTTCTTATCATTCATGCGGATTTTCTTAACATTTCTCCATTTAATACATTATATTATCTAATCTATAAGTCTCTGCATCTAACCAACATCTGCGAGTTGCGTTGGGAAATTCTAATATCGTTATCATCTACATCAGTAATATTTTTTTCATCTGGTAATAAATTTTCTCGCGATTTAATTCGAACGCTTTTAAACGGTCTTAAATAATACAAATGTACACGGTGACTTGGAGCAGCGTTTCCCAGTATTCTTCTCTACTTCGAGCTCTTCTTATCTGGGCTTCGCGTGCACATTATTGCTGGATATGAATTTCTATATTTACAGAGGCAACGTCACGACATGATGCTTTCGTTTGTTCTCTCTGCCTATTTTTTGTCGCTGATAATCGTTGTATTTCTTTGCACTGGTAACATCGATTCATGAGTGTATTTGTAAAACATCGTGTACCATGTTTCCGATGGGATTCCGTTGTCCAAGAGGACAATACGTTTCGCGGATAAACGGTTAAAAAGAATCGAATGAAATTGGCGGATTATTGGGATAATGGAAGTTGCTTTAAGTAACCTGAGAAGTTATGTAAAGTACAAGAGTTTATCGCATTCGTAGGAATAATTTATTTCATTTAAATTGTAATTACATATAAATTCTTAGACAGCTCGGCCTTCGTAACGACTGCCGTTTACGGACAATGACAATAATCATCTAAACGTTTTTACAAACAATAATCTCGAGTATTTTCTATGGGATATTAAGCTCAATCGTAAATCAAATTTTCTAAATTTTTATCACCAATTAGCTCCCAAGAAAGGCTCGATTATTCACATATATTATTTAATTAACGATGCAGCTTAAGTCGTACCGTTAATTCGAATAGACCGTATTATACACGGATAGTACGTGAGAATGTAAAGAAACTTAAATTGGCACTGTTATTAGACTTAATAAAATTATTCAACCATCTAAATATTTACATTGGTTACATTTTGTACCCAACAATTGTCAATATTGACTACAAATGATGCTTTTCTGGTTTCATTTTTATGATGAACAAAACTACAAATTTTAAATGCTACTCAGTACCAATGTTGTAATCTAATTGTTAGTCAAACTACTGTGTAATAAAATTGTGTACTTTTAAAATGGAGCAAAATTGCTTCAAACGAACGTTAAGAAACCATTATTAAAGAACATCGACAAGTTGTAAACAACATTTTGTGTTGTCATGAAAAACGGGTAAATTTTGCACCTGTTGTTAGAATAAGTGTACCATTATCTTGTAAATAATTGAACAAACGTTTCGAAATAACGCCGCATTTATCCAACACCATTTATAATAGAAATTTATACTAGAAAGTTACTTTTTGAAACCAACCTTTTTGCTATTTATGCGCAGCGTTTCATTAGCGAAGGTCTTTGCATTCCATTAAAAAAAATCGTAACTCGACAATTGTAAAATGACATTTTTTTCCAAAGAAAAATACGAAACGTTCAACGACGCATCGTAAATTCACCTGTTGTACACAACAATGACTGTCCGAAAAATTAATAACATTAGCCGTTATTAAATTTATAAGAGCAATTACCTAAGGATGACTCGTGGTTTTCGGTGCTGAATAACAGCGTTTTACCTTTTCGATGGACACCCAAAATACCAATAATGCGTTGGTCCTTATTTGGAGGTATGTTCGACGTGACTGCAAACGAAGCTATGTTTGGAATTCGATTTTTTTCAAGACCAAAACTACTATTATTATTTTACGCACATATGGAGTTAAAAGATTATTTACTGCAAACGTTATTATTTATTACGAAACCGGTAACTACAAATCACCACATTGGCTAATACTGACTAATTCAGTAGGACATTTAATTTGATAGAAGGACACGTTAGGATTGGGAACCCCGTTCATGAAGGTCCATCTCCATTTGCATCCCTCTTGTAAAACGGCAGGGAGTTCGTTGCATTCCTCTTCGGTGGTGACGCCGCCGTAACGTTGACCCCAACCATCTGCAGGGGCGTTCCATTGGGTCTCGCATCCAAGCTGGAAGAAACCAACTCCGCCACCGGGCATGAGGATATCAAAGTGGTTTTCTTTAAGTTCTGTACCAGTGTTGGTCACTTGCGTGATGAGCCTCTTGCCAGCCAGCTCGCCCTTGAAGTCCATCACAAGGCATATGCAACAATCATCGTAGTCGGTACCACCTGGTGCAAATTTGAATTAGTCGGAATTCAGTACGTGTAAGTAGAAACAAACCTGCGAAGGAAGCCGCGACGAATGCGAATGCTAACGATGAATTAACAGTCCTGGGTTGTTGGTTGTTGCAAGTGTACGCGACGCCGCCTTGCTGGCAACCAGATTGGGCGTTGTCGGCTTTAGTCGATGGTGTAACACCATCGACTTTGCATGTTTGCACCGGCACTTTGTTTTTGGTGCGTATGATTTGGTCCCAAGCGCAAGATGGGGCGCAGCAATCCCAGTATCTCGTCGTTATACCATCGCCACTTTTACCGCCTTTAATGGGCGTGAGGTCTATTCCTAATGCAGATAGGACTGAAAGAAGATTTGATAGTAACAAAAATTAAATTGAATAGTGATTTATACGTACATAAGGAAAGGAAAAGCGTACACAATACTGTCGATTTCATTATTGTATTTGATAACTTTTTGATTATCTACAAGTTTATATACCGATAGATTATTTATGTAATAAATACATTTATTAAAATAATGAATTTAATGACGTAAGTACTCAATACAACTACTTAACAATTTATTTTATCTGATAATTTTAAAACAAAACCATACAGATATAGGTATCTAATAAAAAGACGAGTGTGTTACAAAAATCATCTACTTGAAGTGCATACAGATTGCTCCATTTTTCATTGCAACAAAGACAACTTCAATTAGACACTTATAAAGGAAAAAGAAAGAGTGATATTATGTCATTGCAATTTTTCACTGTGACAACTGTTATTTTAATAATCTTTCTTTGTTCAACTCATAGAAAAGCCCATCAGGTTGCAATCGCGAATAAAGCACAGTGTACAAAGAAAAAAACAAAGATTTTTGTGAAAGTAGAGCTATTTTAAAATCTAGCGTCGTCGTCGTGTTCATTTAATACAAAACAGATGCATAAATCAGTGCAACAATCATGTGCACACACACGCACACGTAATTTCAGTCGGACATAGAAGGCACATTTCAACGAGATTGCGAATATAAGCGGGGAAAATCATCATCTACTAATTGTAGTCATCGCAAACGTCGATATTTTTTTCGGTGTTAAGTTTCGCTATAATCAACTTTAAGTAAATTACAACCTAGTCGTAATTTATTGCATCTAGCAATAGCATAATAGATAATTATCCCATTTTCTAGATCAGTTCTGACCGGGGGGCAGCGTTTCGGCCTCTAACATACATGAATTGACCTACGGGTTGACGATAAAATCTCCAAGCTTCAACGACAGAGAGCCTGTAACGTATTTTCCAACAACTCTAATCGTTATTATTTCATTATTTCGCTCGATATCTACGCGTACTTATTCAGTTTAAATGGCATGTTTATTTTTGTGCTCCTAATAACTTACTTATTTGTTACACCAAGCATTAGATATTTAAATTCTTGTTTTTTATCAGTGTAATTTAAAATATATGTTTGATATTTGGTTTATCACATGCTAATATATTTTATCAATAAAATTATTATGTGCTTATAATTATAATTATGTGCTTATAAATATTTTTATTACAATGCAGGTACGAAATTTATTACATTGTATAATTTTTTCCGTGTATTTTTAAATCGAAATGAGAGAAATAAAACATTTACGAGTATAAGAGACTCCTCTCCAGTTGTATTCGATTAAAAGAAAATATGACGTTCATAAACAAATCACGGTTTTTTTCCTGCGATCTACGACTTCTCGTCGGTTGTGCATAAATTAAATGAATCAACTTAATGCGGTAATATCAATTTCGCGAAGCGGCTGATATAATAGAGCCGACCTTTATCGTGTAGTTTTCTCTCCGACGAAATATATAGAGCTCAATAATTAAATTAAATGACGCGTATATACTTAAGACAACGAGTTAGATGCCAACCAATTAGCCGAGATAAAAAGGCGCCGTAATTGAAATCCCCTCTGTATATTATTCGTAATTAAGCCGATTAATGAGCGTTACTTCTCTTGGTATTTAACTAGAAGTTATTTTTTCTACGTGTAACATTTTCTGCAAGAACAAGATGCCACGGTAAATTATACATGTGTTGGGTAGTAACTTTATACTGGTCTACATTTAAAAAAATTATATTCCCTATGCAAATAGTCCCGTTTTTGGTATTAATCTTCCGAGCATTTTTCATATACCAACGAAATCGATTGCGGAACTCATACGAAGATTATTAAATTAGTCGAAGAATTTTCAATTAAAGTCCAGTTACTGGGAACGAAAGGTACGGCGTTAATGAAGATGCAATTTGTTTATTTATTTATTTATTTCTATAAATAAACTGTTCGTATAGCTGACGAACGAATCATTAATACGTTTGAGCCCGAGCCGAGTCTTTTTTCGAATCTTTTTTCCGAACTTGTTCAGTTTTAAGTCGGTTAAAGCAGAGTATTTTCAAATGTAAAATTGAAAAGTCTCGTGTAAATGAATCCAGATGGTTTCTAGATAGGAAGCATTTTCAGCCCGAGATTCAAATTGGATTTTCCCATATTCAAATGACCGACAACACGAAGCCGGTAAATCTTTCCCACACGATATTTTCTCGGTGTCATAATGCATCCCGGTCTATGTAAATACAGAAATTGCATTATTCGATATGGCGTTCGTTGGTTTTTTTGCAATTATAATGGAAGGATTCCACAATAGCGAGCGATAAGCGAGAAAACAACCTCGCGCACGGCCATTGTTTTCTATAATCAATTCGAATTGAACTATTCGATGCACCTAGTTGGCTGTGTCCATGTTTGTACGTTATTATCGATAATATGTTTCAAATCGAAAGCAGCTAGTTGATTACACAGTACCTGTGGAATTTTTTTTATCTAAACGTTGCGCTCGTTATCACTATGGATGGACGTTCTTTGCTTATGCGCGCCATTACACAAATTATACCCGTTGCTAAAATGTTTCTCACTATATATAAAATTGCTGCGAGTTTCGTGTACATATTCAAATAGTTATTGCAACAGTGCAACCCTTGTAAATTGAGCAAATGGTTTCCAACATGCAAGTAGAAAAAAAAAATTGAGAAACCAATAAAAATCTTATTAAAATATCCGTTCCGCGGCGTCCTTGTTGTCGAGTCAAGATATAAGAAGCTGATGTGATTCATGTCTCCGTGAAAAGGACGCAAGTAAAAAAAAAACAAAAACGTATAAAAGCCTCAAGTCAACGTCAGTATACCGTACAGTTATTACATTCACATTGTACGTTAGACTTCGAATGTGAGACCTGCCCATAACTGTCGTATACTTCATAAAACATACGGTTTAGTACTGGAGATGCGCGAATTTTTATTATAAATGCACCTCCTGTTGGTTGTGAAAGATCAACCATCGAACCTTTAACCCTTAGGGCCATTTATTACCACGTTGCATTAAGTAAATTCGAAATGTATATCCAATATTGCGCGAGTTTATGGAATCACCATAAATCACAGTGGGAGGATTTATACATTTTTCTATTTCACAAGCACATGGATTGATTCAAATATGGTTTATACTGATTCTAGAGCATATGAAATTAGTTACAAATTGAGTGTTTTTGGTAGAATCAAAAAGTTCCAAATTAACTTGAATCAGCTATTGATTTAAATAGTCCATTTAGAAACTCCATATTTTTGCTGAATGGTACCGTAAATGTTCTATTCTTAAGTTTTTGTAAAAATTCTTTGGTTCTCGCAACGAGACCCTCCCTAGTATCTCCATGTTGTATCATACAAATCAATCATACGTGATCTATCAAAAAATTGAAACGAGTGAAAAATTCCGAAACGCTGCAATGACCGGTAGTGGAAAAGAGTCTGATTTGATTACCATCTTCTTACAATCAATCACCGATTCGGATCGCTCACGAATAAAATGTATTATATTCAAGGCCGGGCGTAAAAATAACGATTGTCATGTATTTCGTGATCGTGACATTTGATATATCTAACGGTAAAAACGGCATCGCAACGAACCTATCGTTATTACGTTTTAGCGGAATGAAATGAAAGATTCGCAATGGGGTCTCGGATATTTAAAATCGCAAAAGGTAGGGTGGGTCATGAACGTGAAAACAATGACGCTCTTTACGGCGATTATCGGCGTGCGATGTTAAATTAAATTTATTTATAACGATTTTCAGTGAACTGATATTTAATGTTATAGTGTGGCTTAATGCTAATATGATTCTTCTCGATCACGCAGATTATTTTTATAGTAAACGTATATAGGACAGTATTTTTAAACTAAACACATTATTGTTTGCATAAATTACTACAGAAATTGGTTGGTCCAAATTAAAAAATATCTACTATTCTTCTACATATTACTGCAATAATTTAAACATATTTTCTTCTCACAACTTTCTTCGTAGAAAGCAAGAAAAAACTATTGTTAGTGAAATTTTACAACACTATCGTCCATTAAAATGAATTTATTACTCTAATAATTTTTTTATACTTATAATAAACATTTTTAAGTACAGTAACCCGACGGTGTCCAATTAATAATTTCGATAATTTTGAAGAAGTGCTATAAATTGTTTACGACTTCTTCCTCCAGTTCAACGGTAATCCTATATTGGTTTGATTCTCTAAACTTTATATCGTCATTAACGATTTCGATATCAGTTTATGGAAATTTATGGCGCTTCTTTTGTTAGTTAACACTTTATTCATACAAACGAGCAATTCGATTTTATTGCATTTAGATTTTTTATTACTTTTATGTACAGTTCGATTTGTACCAATTTGTTATAATACTTTTTTGAGGAAGATTGGTGAAGTGATAGAAAAAATCTGTTAGGAAAAATTAATTAAAAAAAATAGTAGGTATGTAGTGATTAATAATCGAATCAAATTGCTCATCTACTTCAACTCACTGAGCGTTACTAACGAAGAAATATTTTCAAGATTATTTCCAACCGAAACGTTAATTTCCCGAAAGATTTAATTCGATCGAGGGGAACACTTCTAGTGTCTTTCTTAAACACTTCATTTTTTTACTAATAGCGACCGGGCCGAATTCCCGCATCGTGACGTTAATTTATTAAAATAGTTTCGGAACGGAATCAGCGCTGAGAAAAATCTCTTTGGGACGGGAGCGCGGATGCCGACCGGCTATTCCGATGGACGATTCTCAGTAGAAATTCCGAATGGCATTTTAAAGTCGGTCATGTCATGAATGGTAGCCCGAATTTAAGTCCCGTGGTTGTTTCGAGCATTTTAATTACGTCAGACGCTGAACGCAATGCGGTCGAGTGGTTTTTACCGCCCGTAACTGAGAATTTGCACACTAAAACGCTATTTAATAATAATGCGAGTATACCAGGAAAGAAACCGAATTGTTCGGTGCATGCGTTGTTTGTTTAACGAATAAGCGGAAATTGTTTCCATTGTGTGAAAACGAACGCTGTGGGAGGAAATGATTTCTTTAACGAGCCAGAATTTATGAAATACAAAAAGAGCTTT